ATTTTCAGATTGGGAGTTTCCAATAAGAACCCGGAGTTTATTGTGGTGAATTGCACAAATGAGGTAAACGAACCTTTCATTTATGGCAACAAAGAGTACAAACTTAACCGTCTCGGCCAGTCTTTTATTGTTAAAAAATATGTAAGCCACTACAATGTAAACATTTAACGTTCATTTGTCCGAGATTGGACTATCACAACGGTGGTACTACCACTATGTACCCATCAGATGTTCAATTGAGAGGTTGATGCAAGCAGTCATGTTCGCGTTCCCTCCAGCCACTCAAAGTTCTTCGTCGTACTGGCGGCATTTGATTTTAAATTGAAATGAAATAAAAAAGTTTACCAAACAACAGAAAACACTATAAAGGAATTGGAATTTTGATACACGGTAATGTAACGGATAACTGCCCTGTGAATAATCACTTTTAAACATCCACTTTATAGTCCAGGCGCTAAACGGGTTGAGTATGCACTGAAAGTCTGACAAAATTTGACTTTTGATTATTGTTGGGGACATCTAGTAGATGAAAAAAATTGATGATGTCGCATTTCTAGGGTGGTCACAACTCGGGGGGGAGGGGGGGAAGTTGCGCGGGTCATCGGTTTACGTTTCCGCGTCTAACTCACAAACGGTTTATGATAGAAAGGTGGTTTAAGCGTCTATCAACGCCTAAATGTATTGCCTTTCAAAAAGGTTATTACAATCTTTCTTCTATCTCTTATACTTTAGGCGCTAATCAACATTTATTGCAAAAAATAAAATTTTAAAATACTTTAAAATGAAATATCGGAAATATTGCGCTTGTTTAGGGCATGTTACAAACTATTTATGGTTGGACAAACTAACAAGTAGTGCAACAACACCAAGTTTAAAGAAATCCGTGCAAAAACAACAGAGCTACGTTGATTTCAGTAAGAGTAAACGTGGAAAATTCGTAGTAGTATCGAGGCGCGCATGGATGGTACACGTAGCCCACAGTCAATATAGGTTTGATGTTGTAAGTAACTATGGGAAAGCTGAATTTTTCTATGGTGTTAGACCATGTTGAGATTATCATTTTCCCGAAAGTCAACACTCCTCCCCCCTTGTGCTTTCCTCTAACCCCCCTTTTTAGATAAATTTACAGCCTCTTAGCAATTAAGCTATAACTTTAAAACGGGTAAGGATAATAATGCAATATTTTATTAATTATTTTGCCTTACGATATTCTACAAAAAGTGTATTTACCATGGTATCCTAAATATTCATAGTTAAAAAATATCATAAACATAAAAAAAATTTACGGATTAATTTATGAAACTTTTCTTTGAAGATTGTTTATACGAGGTCGCACAACAAAAAGGTTTGATACAAAATTTGGGGTGCATAGTTTACATTTTAAAATGATACATAGTTATTAACAGTTTGTTTGTATATAGTGGTTATAGATAGTACAGTATATTGATTTTACAGGACTCTGGCTTTTTTGTGCACCGCAACAATGAAAAAAAATTACGTATATTATGGTTTTTGTATTTGAATTTGCCGCTTTATATAGATTATATTAACGTTATGTAGCTCATTCAGTACATATACAGACTGTAGTGGATACATATGAATGAATATCGTGCATTTGCTGCTGTACGCCAGAGCCTCATTTTATTATACAGGGTGTCTCACCTAAAGTGAACCAATAGATAACATTTTTATTATGAGATATAGAGTTAACTTCTTATGGGACACCACCCTTTATTTTAAGATGTTTTTTAGTTCGAATTTTAAAAATATGTTCGCCATTTTCCAATTTGGCTGACAACTTTGTTAGTCCTGTGGAATACCCTGTATTTTATGATTGTTTTAGAATGTAAACGCACAATTTTTAAACCTTTTTATTCTTGACATTTTTCTCTAAAGCTACTTGTTTAGGAGTTACATCGAAAAAGAAATGGTTTGTGAGTACATCCTGCATCCTGTAGCTCATAAACGAGTAAGTTTAAGAGCGGAAATACGAAGAATAAACAAGTTTTCAAATCACATCTACATAAAAAAAAACATAAAATAAATTGTTCTAATATCAAAGTAAGCTGGCATTTTTGAAAATGGTGGTCATTTTTAAAACAACAAAATCAGTATTTTTAACGTATTTTATATATTTCTTTGAACGAGGACTTATATGTGACTTATTTATTCTTTGCAGTTTCTCTCTCAACTTACTCGTTTATGAGCTACAGGATGCCGAATGTACACCACAAGCCTTTCTTTTAGATATAACACGCTGTAACTCCTAAATGGGGTAGGTTTAGAGAAAAAATTCACGAATAAAAAAATAGCTTTTAAATTCTAAAAGAATACTAAAATACAGCGTATTCCATAAGAAATAACAAAGTTGTTGGCCATATTGGAAAATGGTGGATATATATTTTTTATTCGTAACCATCCCTAAAAACATTTTTTACAAATAAAAGGGGTCGTCTAATAAAATGTTAACTCCATATGGAAAATAAAATTAAGTATGTTCACTATGTAATCTCAACCGGGATGAAACGTGTACCCTTTTATAGCAGAATGTCCAATTTGAAAAAAAGATACGTAAATTTTGGTCTAACAAGTTATATTTAAATGAATATGAGTTTTTTTGAATTTTTAAATGGCAAAGATTGGCGGGCACTTGGAAATTATCTTAAAGAGGCGTGGAGTAAAGGGTGGGAATTGATAATGGAGTATAATTATTAAATTTAAGAATTGAGATATCAATACAAAAATTGGAAAAATCTATGTAATTTAAAAAAATTATAAAATATTGTTTGTTAAGTATCTATCAAAGTAAATTATGAAAGTAACAGGTTTGTTTTATGAATTATTAACTGTTTGTAGAAAAAATTCAGATAATCAGTAGGCTACATTGAAAGTTTATTATTCATTCAATTGATATCTGATCTATTAGTATGTAGTGCTATTTGTGTATGTTCTGTAGTGGAAATCAGTTTATTTTATGAATAATTGTATGTGATTCATGGAATTTTTTAAAACTGTTTTAAAATATTTTAAAATCAGTGTGTCTAACAGAAAACAGACGGTCTTTGACCATTGTTCTTTGCATTTAAATAAAAAACACTTTATTGATATTTTATTAGAATGAACACATTTTCTTCTTCTTCTTCTTCAGAAATCTATAATAATTCTTTTTAAATATTTATTCATCTAATAATTCTTTTTGTAGATTATCGTAACGCAAAATAATTAATAAAATATTGCATTATTATCCTTACCCGTTTTAAAGTTATAGCTTAATTGCTAAGAGGCTGTAAATTTATCTAAAAAGGGGGGTTAGAGGAAAGCACAAGGGGGGAGGAGTGTTGACTTTCGGGAAAATGATAATCTCAACATGGTCTAACACCATAGAAAAATTCAGCTTTCCCATAGTTACTTACAACATCAAGCCTATATTGACTGTGGGCTACGTGTACCATCCATGCGCGCCTCGATACTACTACGAATTTTCCACGTTTACTCTTACTGAAATCAACGTAGCTCTGTTGTTTTTGCACGGATTTCTTTAAACTTGGTGTTGTTGCACTACTTGTTAGTTTGTCCAACCATAAATAGTTTGTAACATGCCCTAAACAAGCGCAATATTTCCGATATTTCATTTTAAAGTATTTTAAAATTTTATTTTTTGCAATAAATGTTGATTAGCGCCTAAAGTATAAGAGATAGAAGAAAGATTGTAATAACCTTTTTGAAAGGCAATACATTTAGGCGTTGATAGACGCTTAAACCACCTTTCTATCATAAACCGTTTGTGAGTTAGACGTGGAAACGTAAACCGATGACCCGCGCAACTTCCCCCCCTCCCCCCCGAGTTGTGACCACCCTAGAAATGCGACATCATCGATTTTTTTCATCTACTAGATGTCCCCAACAATAATCAAAAGTCAAATTTTGTCAGACTTTCAGTGCATACTCAACCCGTTTAGCGCCTGGACTATTATCACATCGAACTGTAACTACATGATAATCAGTAAAATACGATGTAAGGTAAATCAATTTAACCACAGACAAAAAGAATTAAATATTTATTCTTAAACACTTTGCTGTCTAGTATAGATAGGAAACTCTTCATTATGAACCAGACTTAGTTAACAGATTGAAATAAAATATAAATTCCAGCTTTGCTCTGGAAGTTTTAAGTCCTGCAGTCTGTGGTTAACCTTAAACACTATTTCAAACTACGTCCATATGTTATTTGTAAATAAAGGGAAATGAGTTTGATCAAATGTCATCAGATAGCGCTGCCTTCCAAACTTTAGCCCTTAAGTGTACTTAAGTGGTGCCCTTTCTTAATATTCTGGGACGTATTTGCACATCTACGTAAAAATACCTTTAATTTGACACCTCAAACTTTAAAATCCATCAAGCCGTTATTGAGCTATGACTGTGAAAAGAAAACTGCTTGCGTATTAATATATAGATTTGGTATGTGTCACACCTAGATTTATCTGTAACAAAAAGCTTGCTTAGTAACTGAGTATTTAAAGCACACGCCTTGTGATGTAAAGGTCACCGAGTTTTATCCTAAGTCATAAAAAAATAAACAAAAAATATCAAAACATATAAAGTTATTTATAAATTTTTTTCGACAAGGATGTACTTTGTATAATTCCATCTCTTTGTGCATATTGTTACAAGTCAGGAGCCCCGTGCAACAATAGCCAGGCGCCGTATCAAAAGGGTTGTTTCTTTACACGGGTTTCTCCGTACGTGCCAGTGACAGACTGGTCACAATGACAACCCATTTGCCAAATCTTTGAAGACTGTGGCAGCCGTTATGTAGGGACGAGAGCTCCGAGGAGTCAAGTGAGATTCTTATGTACATAATAAGAGACAGAAGAAGTGTCTTCCCTCGCTACAATGGTGCTTACCTGTGTAGATTTCGCAGAGTTTTTTAAAACTGAAAACAAAACACCACCTGGCAAAACAAATCGTATAGTTATTTCCAGCACATAATGTTAACTCAGTGGTACGTCAACTAAAATCATGTCCACCATCCCCAAATGGATTGCCGAAGGAGCTGGAAAATTTCGTGGAGAGCACCTGTCAGGATCTGACGCGTCAACAAAGTGCGAAAATAAGGGACTTCATTACCAGATGGCAAGATGTCTTCGAATACGGAAGCGAACCTAGAGGAAGAACAAACATTGTACAGCACAAGATAGACACCGGAGATGCAAAAACCATACGTCAGGCTCCTAGACGACTCCCGCTAGCAAAGCGTGACGAAGCTGAGAAAATCATAAAAGAGATGGAAGCGGATGGTGTCATCGAGCCTTCTAGCAGCCCTTGGGTGTCACCTGTGGTACTAGTGAAAAAGAAAGACGGCTCAACAAGATTTTGCGTAGACTACCGCCTTCTCAACAATGTCACCAAGAAAGACAGCTACCCTCTCCCCAGGATTGATGACACACTCGACACTCTGGGATGATGTCAAATATTCTCAACTTTGGATCTGAGAAGTTGCTACTGGCAGGTCGGGCTCGCTCCTGAGGACAAGGAGAAGACGGCGTTCTCTATTGGGACAGGACTTTGGAAATTCACTGTGCTGCCTTTTGGACTTTACAACGCCCCTGCTACTTTCGAAAGGCTTATGGAGAACATCCTCAGGGGATTGTAATGGGAGACATGCCTGGTTTACTTGGATGACATTATCGTCTTAGGTAAATCCTTCGAAGACCACCTGAAGAACCTAGAGAATGTCTTCATGCGACTGCGGATGGCTAATCTGAAGTTGAACCCCAAGAAGTGCAACTTGTTCCGCAAACAGGTTAATTACCTCGGCCATGTCGTATCGGACAAAGGAGTGTCTGTGGATCCGGAGAAGATCAGAGCTATCACCGATTGGCCAATACCTCAGGATAAGCACCAGGTTAGGAGCTTCCTCGGGCTGTGTGCTTACTACAGGAAATTTGTTAAGGAATTTGCTAATATTGCAAAACCACTAACCAAGTTGACCGAAGACAAGAGGACCTTTGTTTGGGATAACGACTGCGAGAAAGCTTTTGAAGAGCTGAAGACTAAATTATGCAGCGCACCCATATTGAGCTACCCACGATCCGACGGAAAGTTCATACTAGACACGGACGCCAGCAATACAGCCATTAGAGGAGTTCTTTCTCAGCTCCAGGATGGAGAAGAACATGTGATCGGGTACTTCAGTAAGGTCCTGTCAGCACCTGAGCGTAATTACTGTGTCACCAGGAGGAAGCTTCTCGCAGTGGTTAAGTCCATAGAACACTTTCATAAATATCTGTACGGAAGAAGGTTCCTCTTGAGAACGGACCATGCCGCACTGATGTGGTTGCTAAGATTTAAGTCTCCAGAAGGACAGGTTGCAAGATGGTTAGAAAGGTTACAAGAATATGACTTCGAATCAATCCATCGTGCGGGACCGAGCCACAACAATGCAGATGCTCTATCGAGAAGACCGTGCGGGGACAACTGCGTGCACTGCACACGCAAGGAAGACAAAAGTGCATCAGTTCATCGCGTTACCGCCGTTGACGACGAATGGGACAGTAAGAAACTGTCAGAGGACCAGAAGGAAGACACAGACCTAAGACACGTCATGCAGTGGAAGATGGACAATAAAGGAAGACCATCGTGGCAGGATATTGCTCCATTGTCTAAGAACGTCAAGACCTACTGGGCGCAGTGGAACTCGATTTTAATGGAAGAAGGAGTTTTGAAGCGAGTCGTCGAATCGGAGGAAGGGGGGCACCGAAAACTCCAACTAATAATTCCAAGGAAGAGGGTTCCTGAAGTGCTAAGGGAAGTGCACGATGGAATTTCTGGAGGCCATCTAGGGGTACATCGTACACTGGTGAAAGTAAGGGAGCGCTTCTACTGGGCTAATCAGAGAGATGACGTCATAGACTGGTGCAGAAGATGTGTGACCTGCGCAGCATCAAATGGCCCTGTCAACAAACGAAAAGCACCAATGAGGAAATACAACGTAGGTGCCCCGTTTGAGCGCATTGCCATTGACGTAGCAGGACCGTTCCCCATGTCCGATGCTGGAAATAGATTTATTTTGGTAGCAATGGATTACTTCAGCAAATGGGTAGAGGCCTATGCATTGCCTAACCAGGAAGCGGTAACAGTTGCAGATATATTAATCAAGGAATTGGTGAGCAGATTTGGAGTCCCGCTCGAACTTCATTCTGACCAAGGAAGAAATTTTGAGTCAGCAGTATTCTCCAGAATGTGTGAAGTTCTTGGTATCCGGAAGACTCGAACAACACCTCTGCACCCACAGTCAGATGGCATGGTAGAACGCATGAACAGGACGATGGGAAGATATCTGTCAAAAGTTGTCTCCGAACATCAGCGGGACTGGGACCAATACCTGCACCTGTTTCTACTTGCGTATAGGAGTTCTGTCAACGAAACCACCGGTCAGACTCTAGCCAACGTAGTTTTTGGCCGAGAGCTCCGTCTTCCATGCGACCTGCAGTATGGCTTGAAGCCACATGAATGTGTGGTTGGCGAGGACTACGTATCTGATCTGCGGAAGAGGATGGACGAGATACATGAGAAAGTCCGTCGCAACATATCTGGAGCAAGCGACAGGATGAAGGAGAGGTACGACGTGAAGGCTGAGAAAGGAGGGTTCACACCTGGAGACCTCGTGTGGCTACACAATCCCTGAAGGCGTCGTGGATATTCACCAAAACTCCAGAACTCGTGGGAAGGACCTTATAAAGTTATTTCCCGTCTAAATGACGTCATCTACCGGATTAAGAAGCAACCAAATGGCAAACTCAAAATAGTCCATTTCAACAGGCTTGCACCCTACAAAGGAGATCACGGCCAACAAGATGAACAACAAGTTCGCAACATCTCAACCGAACCAAGAGACGTCGTGCCCGAGAAACGTGGAAAGGCGGAATTGAAACTGTTATATAAGGACCTCTTCACCTTGCCAGTGGATTATGCCTTGGCCCACTGCGTAGCAGAAGACCTGAGAGCGTCGCGAGTTATAGCCACAGTCTTCAGGAAAAAGTTTGGAGGGACTGAAGATCTTGAGCGTCAGAGACCCGCCATTGGCACCACCCTTCACCTGAAGCGCAATGGACAGCATTTGTTCTACCTCGTTACGAAGGAAGCATCAAGCCAGAAGCCCTCCTACGAATCGTTGAAGAAAAGCCTGCAAGACCTGCGAGACAAGCTTCTTCGGATTGGAATCAAAAAGCTTGCCATTCCAAGACTGGGTTGTGGTTACGACGGACTGGAATGGAAGACTGTAAGAAATATGGTGCAGGAACTTTTCGAGGACACTGGCATCGACATTGTGGTCTGCGTATACAACCCATGGGGAACCGGAGACATTATTGGTCCAGAAGATCCCAAACTTCGAGAGAAATCTGTTCTGGGGCAGAACAGTCTTAAGGAGGGGGCAGTGTTACAAGTTAGGAGCCCCGTGCAACAATAGCCAGGCGCCGTATCAAAAGGGTTGTTTCTTTACACGGGTTTCTCCGTACGTGCCAGTGACAGACAATAGACCCATGTCAACGGACTACGTCAATAGGGTCTTTGACATCCACCAGAAGCTTCCACGGTGATCTGTAAACACCTTTGTCTACGCTAATAAGGGTCTCCAGAATGTTCCATGGTAAACTTATATAAGGGACCGTCTTCCGGCACACGGCAGTTGAGTTGAGTTGAGCTGAGCCTTCCGAGAATCGTCCTAGCAAGCGCCCGTCGGTGTTAGTGACCAGTGCTAGTGCTAGTGAGAGGTACAGTGTAGTGACGGTGTAGAGACAGTGTAGTGACACTAGTGACAGTGTAGAGACAGTGTAGTGACACTAGTGACAGTGTAGTGACAGTGTTGTGACAGAAGTAGTGATAAATCCTGTAGAGGCTAGCTGTAAGTAGAAACATTGTAAACTAGGATTTTCTTAAAAGGTATTTACAAGGTTATGTACAATACAATTGTTCTATTTCCAAAAGGCCAAGTACCGGTACGTATATTCTTTTTTTTACTTGGTCATTTACATCTTGGAAATTTATGTTCTAAATAGGCAATACCTTATACATTTTTATTTTCACTTGGCTATTTAGTGAATTTCAATTTGTACATTTATTATTTCATTGTGTTGTCACTCTATTTTATTAAAACGTTTTTATTAGCTCGCTTTCTTGTCCGGTACAAATTTTGCAACCAATTTTATACTAAGTTCCCGATGAGCTAGAGACTTGAAACTTGAAACATAGCTCACAAATGGAAGACAATGCAATACTATATCATTTAATTTTCATATTTCTCTTGGGCTACGCCCCATGGGCTTGTTTTTATTAACTCGCTTTCTTGCAAATTTTGATACTTCCCGATGAGCTAGAGACTTGAAATTTGAAACATATAGCTCACAAATGGATGACAATGCAATATTATATCATTTAGTTTTCATATTTCCCTTGGGCTACGCCCCATGGGCTTGTTTTTATTAGCTCACTTTCCTACAAATTTTGATATCAATTTTAAACGAAGTTCCTGATGAGCTAGAGACTTGAAATTTGAAACATAGCTCACAAATGGATGACAATGCAATATTATATCATTTAATTTTCATATTTCCCTTGGGATACGCCCCATGGGCTTCTATATTTACCATGTTTACATTTTGTAAGAATGTAAATATATCAATTAATTTAAGTCAGCTGTAAATACTTAAATTTGACAGTTCGAAGAGCAGAGGTTAAGAGGTACAGGTTATGCTCCTAAGAGATATAAACAAACATTTCAAAATAAAGATAAACAATCTGATTGCTGATATAAAGGTGTTTGTTAATAATGTCAATTGTCATTTATTTAGTATTCTATAAAGTAAACAATAAATTAAATAGATTGATATATTTATAGTTAGTAGGTAGGCCATACATTCAATCTCATGCATAAATATATGAAAAGAAACTCAAATAAACCTTAGATTTCCCACATGCCTCTGTCTTAATCTGATATAGATGCTTGAAATAGATTTAACATCCACACACGTTAAAAACTAAAAAGTAGAAAATAATTTATAAATAAAAAATTTTTTAAAAACCAAACGTTTTTAAACGCACTAAAAAGTAGAAAATAATTTATAAATATGTGGAGAGTATAAATACTTGTAAGATTTAAAACGAAAAACGTGGGGTGCATGCAATTGATAATAATACATTAGTCCAATAGGTGAATGTAATTGTAAATTATCTATTCCATGCACCCCACGTTTTTCGTTTTAAATCTTACAAGTATTTATACTCTCCACATATTTATAAATTATTTTCTACTTTTTAGTGCGTTTAAAAACGTTTGGTTTTAAAAAAGTTTTTTATTTATAAATTATTTTGTTTTACAGTAGGCAGTGGGATGTACTAATGTACCATTTGTAATTTTTTTAATTTTACTACACACTATATTGTACTTTTTGTATGATTTTATAT